TCTCAGGTCTTATGTCTAGTTCTTTAATCCATTTTGAGTTGATTTTGTATATGGTGTGAGGTAGTGGTCAAGCTTCATTTTTTTGCATGTAGCGACCCAGTTTTCCCAGCACCATTTATTGAACAAATTTTCTTTGCTCCAATGCATATTCTTTGCTCCTTTGTCAAAGATTAGTAGACCACAAATCTGTGGATTTACTTCTGTATTTTCTATTCGATTCCATTGGTCTGTGTGTCTGTTCTTGTTCCAATACCATGCAGTTTTGATGATTATGGCTTTGTAGTATAGTTTGAAGTCTGGGAGTGTGATGCCTCCATTCCTTTCTTTCTTTTTTTTTTTTTTCAGGAGAGCTTTGGCTATTTGGGGTTTTTGATGATTCCATATGAATTTCATCAACAATTGTTCTATTTCTTTGAAGAATGACATTGAAATTTTTATTGGAATACCATTGAATCTGTGTATTGCTTTTGGTAGGATGGCCATTTTAATAATGTTTATTCTTCCAATCCAGAGCAGGGGATGTGTTTCCATTTCTTTGTGTCTTCTTCTGTTTCTTTTAACAGTATTTTATAGTTTTCTTTGTATAGGTTCTTTGCCTCTTTTGTTAGATTTATTCCCAAGTATTTGATTTTTTTTGTTTCAATAATAAAAGGGATGGTTTTTTTGATTTCTTCTTCTTCAGATTTATTGTGTGTGTATAGGAAGGCTACTGACTTTTGCATGTTGATTTTGTATCCTGCCACTTTACTGAGCTAATTGATTAGTTGAATTAGTTTTTCTGTCAATTTTTGGGGTTCTCTATGTATATTATCATATCATCTGCAAATAGTGACAGTTTGACTTCTTCTTTTCCTATTTGTATTTCTTGCATGTCTTTCTCTTGTCTTATTGCTCTGGCTAGGACTTCCAGTATTATATTGAAAAGCAGTGGTGAGAGTGGACATCCTTGTCTTGTTCCAGATCTTAATGGAAATGCTTTCAGCTTTTCACCATTGAAAATGATACTGGCTGTTGGCTTGTCATATATGGCTTTATGATGTTGAGGTATGTTCCTTGCATCCCGAGAATTTCAGACCCTTAAAAATTATTGATGAGACAATATAAGTTATAGATTCACTGTCCGGAAAGACACAGTCACCTCTTATGTCACCCCTGGTATTTATGCAAGAGGTTGGTTTCTCTTGGTCTATCAGCATGACCAAGATTAGGAAGATACAAGGAAATAGATTTTTTTCCCCACAGAATGAACCAAAATAGTATCTCAAGGTGGACAAAGGGAGAGTTCAGTTTAGCTGGAGAGGAGTGTCACAGCTCAGGATGCTGGGCTGGATGTTTTGTACTTTTGTACTGGGGCCAGGAAGTATTTACAGACACAATAGGTGCTTTTTTTTTTTTTTTAGAGCCTGAGCCAATTGGGCTAGTTTTCAAAAATGCAGCTCAAGGGCATGTCCCATGGAATTGAGATAGAGCATTTTATGATTTCTGCAGCAATAAAAGAAAAGTACCCACAAGAACGGTGCAGAGACGAAGCAGGGGCATCCCCGTAGCTAAGTCGGAGGCCCTCCAGTCAGACCAGGACCATGCACCGTGGCCTCTTGATTGGCTATGTCAAGACTCAAGTCTAAGTAACTTACTAAGTAAGAGAAGCAACAGGTGCAACCAGAGAAGACTGCACCTGAAAATTGGTTTCAACTTTAGCATGCAGGAGAGAGGTGCACCCTTTTTCAAGACAAAGAGGAAGTTCCCATCCACAACAGGAAGGCGGTGTCCAACACCAACCCCTATCTACAGGAGGCGTCCCTCCTCTTAAACTCTAGCCGTGGGTGATGAACAGTCTCCTTGCTCACAGGGGTCTATTGGGCTTAATCACTCCCTTGCCAGCGTGACTGGAACACAATATATGGACCTATCTGTCTCACACCGAACACAAGGGGAGGGGTCCTGGACTTTGTGGGACTCTACTGGTGACCCCGACCCTGTCTTTCTACAAAGGGCACCCATTCCCAGTGTCTAGCGAGCTTATAGTAGCCACTCTCCTTGTCTGAGCATCACTGGGGAGGGGATGAGATGCCCTGTGAGCAGCCCTGGCTGCAGGCTGGGGTGGGGGGAGTGAAGGAGAGGAGAGGAGGCCTTGGAGCTGCCCTGCGTCTGAGGCGCCATCTTCTCTCCCCACAGCCTCTCTCTGCAGCCACTTGACCACACCCTGGAGACTGTAAAGCAGATGCTTTTCCTTTCCACTCCCTGTTGCTGGAGACCAGCCCCAGCTAGAAATTGTGTCAGGGGTCTCAGAGAGGAGAGGACGGCATCGGCCAAGTTTCTCTTGCAGGGCTGAAGGGAAGTGGAGCGAGGTAGAAGTGAGGAAGACACAAACACTTTAGTTCATACAAGTATCTCCTACTGAGGGTCTCAGTGGGACTCCCCAATGCCCAGACCTTGTCAAGAGACAGTATGGGAGGTGCAGCCTGCTGCACCCTGTGCCACACTTCAAGTGTTCAACAGTTAGAGGCACCATATTGATCAGTGCATATGTAGAACATTTCTTTCTTCCTGAATATTCTATTGGACAGCACAGCTCTTCATGCTTTGGGAGCATTAAGTCAGATGCATTAAACACATATAAAATCAAGGGGCCAATATTATCTCTCTTAAAGATGAGGTGAGGTCCCTGGATGGAAATACATATTAAGCAGGTGAAAAACAAAATAAAAAAAGATTATCAGTGGGTCTGGTGCCTCCAGACACTAACTGTCCCAGTTTCAAAAAGAAGCACCTGTCTCTCCACCTCCCTTCTCAGACTGAGCACTTTCTCATCATCTCTGAGAAATGAGTGCTCTTCCAGGGAGTCCAGGGGCAAAGCTCTAAGAAAAACTTAGGAAACTGGAAATCCAAACCAAGGAGATGGCAGAGACTCTCCCTGGTTCACTGAGAAAAGCATTTCCAAAGTAGGTCTGTGGAGCTGTTGAGGTCACCCAGAACCTTTCACGGGATCCAGGAGGTCAAAACTATTTTTATAACATCTCTTAGACACCATTCACCTTTCACTATTTTGACATTTGCTAAGGTAAAACTTAGTAAAAATGGAAATTATAGTACCAACTGCAATAGTAGTTATTGTTCACCACCACTTTCTTGCAGGAAAAAAAATCCAGACCAGTGTCACTTCAAAATGTCCTGGTTAAATCACAAAAGCGTATTTTCTATTTATCATCCTGAAATCCACATTATTTATTTATTTTTTTAAATAATAAATTTTATTTTTATATTCCCCATACCATTGCAGCCCCCCGATTCTGACCCCAATCCCTCCCCTCCCGCACCCACCCCCCTAAAAGTGTCTCTGGTTCATAGTTTTTTGTTGATGAAATCCACATTTTTTAAAGGTCTGAAATGATGACAAGGAAGTGCACATAAGGCATGTCTGCTACAGTCCAAAGGGCCGGGTCCCAGAGGGAAAAATGTATGAAGTGAATTTGCCTCTTCTTTTAGGCAATATCATTTTTAATTGAAGGAAGGAATGGCTAAAACCACGGTTACTTAGACTAGTTGAATTGGCAGACACTTTCCTGAACATGAAGGTGAGTCTGTCCCTTTTAAAAATCAACTGATGCCACTTGTTGCCTTGATAAAATGTAAACTCCCAGAGAAAATCAGAATTATGGAAAATTGTGTCCTATCACTATAAACTTGACAACTTACAGTATGGACTAATTTTTCTTTTGGGATCTGTGGTAAAAAATAAAACATGTGATTTTTGATAACTTGACCCCAGTGTTATTAACACTATATAGCTGTATCACACGCAGTGAAACAATAGGTAACTTTTTTTTAAAAAATCATACAATTGTAAAAGATCCATTAATATACAAGAGAAGCCTATGGAGTTAATATAACAGAATAGGAAATATTCAATGACATGGTTTCAGGTTTCACTTTGCAAATAACCTTTGAGAAAATATTGCTTATATAGTTATGATTTTGTATGAAAGTTGTAACAAAGTTGAATATTCATAATCTGAAAAGGTTATTAAAATACGCTAATATTAAAAAGGTTATTAAAATATTAAAATTCCTACATATTTCCATGAGATTGTATATTTTTCATAGATTTCAAACAAAACATTAAATGTAGAAGAAACTACGAAAATAAAAGATCTTCTAATGAGGCAAAAATGACACAACAATATAAAATGTAAAATTTCCCCTCTTTTAATTATCCTTATATTGACAGAAAGTTATTTTCTTAAAAATGCTTTGTTAGGGTCTCCTGGTGGTGCAAGGGGTTAAGACTCAACCTATGAAGCTACCTGCAGCCACTGCAGCATGAGTTCAATCCCTGGCCAGGAAGTTACTCACATGGTGCAGCAGACCTCTGCAGTCTAGCCCCCTGCTCCCCTCAGCAGTGTGTTTCAGTACATCTGCCTGATGTGCTCCCCACTCTGTCTCTGGTGAATTATCTCACCCCAAGCATCTCTGTCCTGCACCGCAGCTCTTGTATGCATAAATCTTTTTTAAAAAATGCTTTGTTAGCATACATTGGTTATTAATATTCTAAAGTAAAGAAGTAATACCATCTTAAAAAGCCTTTATTCTAGTAAAGTAAATATTTAAAGCTATAACCCACGTAAAAATTATGCATGGGATCCGTAATAATTTGTGAGACTGTAGAGACATCCTGAAAGAAAAATGTTTTGAGAATCGCTGACCCAGTTTCTGGGCCAGGACTCTGGGAGACCGTGTGACAAAGGTTTTGGTGCAGGAGAGGAGGGGTGTCGGGGTGTGGCTTTCAAAGTCTCAGTACCCCAGGCGCTGTCTGTGGCGGGAAGGTGACTGTCGGGGCTTCCTCACCTCCCCAGTTTCACCTGTCACAGCCTGGGCGGGTCCTCCCTCCTGGATACTGGTGACTCACCCCAGGGCTCACTCCCCATTGCCGGAAGTCTCCGGAGCAGCCAATCAGCAGCCCCGCGGCTCCCGTTCCAAAGCCCTCGCCCGCCCGCCGGGACTCCGTCTCCCCAGCCCGGGTGGAGGCGCGTCCTGGGGGATGGGGGGCGCAGCCCTCCTGCTCCTGCTCGCGGTGGCCGCGGCCCCGGGGGAGACCCGGGAGGGTGAGTGCGGGTCGGGAGGGGACAGGGCGCTCCCAGAGGCGGGAGCGAGGGCGCGAGCGGGCGTGGGAAAGGCGCGACCTCGCCGCCGCCCTAGTTGTCCCCCCACCTCGGCCCCACCCGTCCTGGCCCCTTTCCGTCCCCCCGAGACCCCAGCCTCCTCTGGCCCCCCGAGTCCCGGCCATTTTCGTCCCGCAGCCGCTTTTCAGTCTCACTCGTCTTTCACCCACTTTCTGTCTCGTGGGCGCCCCCTGGGACTCGAGCCCCCGAAGGGGAGAAGAATAGCCCGGGTCTCCCCTCCCGCCCCCAGGCCCCCACTCCATGAGGACTTTCGACACCACAATGTCCCGGCCCGGCCTCGGGGAGCCCCGCTTCATCGCGGTGGGCTACGTGGACGACACGCAGTTCGCGCGGTTCGACAGCGACTCCCCGGGTCAGAGCGCCCAGCCGCGGGCGCCCTGGGCGGAGCAGCTGGGGCAGGAGGTGTGGGACGAGGAGACGCGGATCCTAAGGGACCAAGCACTGTGGTCCCGAGCGCAGCTGGACGCCCTGCGCGGCCTCTACAACCAGAGCGAGACCGGTGAGCTGGCGCGGGGCCGGGCCGGGTCAGCACCCCCATCCCCACGGACGGGGGTCGCTCAGGGTCTCCCCCTCCAGGCTTCTCTGCAACCTGCCCGGGAACAGCCGCAGGACTTTCACCCCGTTTCATTCTGTTTAGTTTATTCCCGGCGGGGGGCGGGAGGTCGGGGTGACCGCGGGGTGATCACGGGGTGACAGGGGCCTGGGACAGGCTCTCACACCCTCCAGGGGATGTTTGGCTGCGAAGTGGGGCCCGACGGGCGCCTCCTCCGCGGGTACAGTCAGTTCGCCTACGACGGCGCCGATTACCTGGCCCTGAACCGGGACCTGCGCTCCTGGACCGCGGTGGACACGGCCGCTCAGATCACCCGGCGCCAGTGGGAGGAGGAAGGTCGGGCAGAGAGATTCAGAAACTATGCGGAGGGCAAGTGCTTGAGGTTGCTGGGCACATTCCTGGAGTACGGGAAGGAGACTCTGCAGCGCACGGGTAAGAGGGGCCTGGAGGCCTCCCGGTCCCCCCTGCCTGGAGTCACTGCGGGAAATGAGTCCTCTCTCTAGTCCCGAGAGGGGGACTCCCCTGGGTTTCATGTTCTGGACGAGAGAGACTCCCAGAGACTCCGGCTTCTCCTGAAGGACAGGGAAGGGATCCCGTCTCTCCTGAGAAAGACAGACAGTCCCTGACATCACAGGTCACTGGGTCCTTTTGACCAGGGGCCTGTTTGAGAACCACGAGTTTCTCTCTCAGTCTTGTTTCTGGTCTGAGAACATTTTCAGTTATGTGATTCCTGCTTTTCTGTGTCATTCACCTTCCCCCCAGGTCAGGAATAAAAAGTCTGTGTTCCACTCCCGCTGCTTCATCCTACCCTGGGCTTTCATCCTCATTCTAGAACTTTCTAGGGAATAGGAGAAGCTCATAGATTCCCCCAGATTAGCCTGTTTTTTACATTTTATGCTTCTTCCTGCCACACCAGTTGTCTTGTCCATTGGGAGGATGGTCTCATGAGGATTCTTCAGTGTCCGTGGAGGAAACACAAAGTTAGTTTTCTGATTTACCACCTCAGATCCCCCAAAGACACGCATGACCCACCACCCCACCTCTGAGGATGAGGTCACCCTGAGGTGCTGGGCCCTGGACTTCTACCCAGCGGACATCACCCTGACCTGGCAGCGAGATGGGGAGAACCTGACCCAGGACATGGAGCTGGTGGAGACCAGGCCTGGGGGAGATGGAACCTTCCAGAAGTGGGCAGCTGTGGAGGTGCCTTCTGGAGAGGAGCAGAGATACACGTGCCATGTGCAGCATGAGGGGCTGCTGGAGCCCCAAGTCCTGCGATGGGGTGAGGAGGAGGATGTGGGCACAGAGGCTGTTCTCAGGGCCATTAGGAGCACTTCTGGAGACCTTCGGAGTGTCAGGATAAGGTCTGGGTCTCAGGGTATGATCTTCCCTTCCCTTCCAGGGCCCCCTCCTCAGTCCTCCATCACCACCATGAGCATCATTGCTGGCCTGGTTCTCCTTGGAGCTGTGCTCACTGGAGCTGCAGTGGCTGCAGCTGTGTTGTGGAGGAAGAAGTGCTCAGGTAGGGAAGGGAGTGGGGGATCTTGTCCACTGGGGGCTTTCATGTCCCAGGGAGAACTTGTCCTGCCTGGTTAATGGGAAGTACCATCCACACACATGTGTGTTGCCCAGAGGGCATTTGGTCTAGTCCCCCCTCACCTCCTTTCTTCATTTTTCCGAGTCCTGACCTGGGTCTTTACTCACAGTTCTAGAAACTCCCCTCTTCTGTAGGATTAAAATATTCCTTTAGGTCTTCTGACCTGACTGCTCCCTGGACTCACATGATGTTTCTTCCCACAGAAGGACAAGGAGGAAGCTACACTCAGACTGAGGTAATTGTGGATCAGTGGTTTAATCACTGAGCCCCTGGGACCAGTATAAATGGACTCCGTGGGGGAGTCACCCTCATCTGTCCCTCCTTTGGTCTCATCTCTGACCAGTTTCTGTTTTGTTCCCAACCAGGCAGCAGCAGTGCCCAGGGCTCTGACGTGTCTCTCAGCCCCTAAGCATGTTTTACAGTGAATCTGATGAGGCTCCTGTTGTGCACACCGTGGACAGCACCTGTATTGTGCAGAATTTGCATTTTCAGTCTCTCCTAGGTGTGAAGGTATCACTGTTCTTAACTGTGATATTGAGCATTTGTTCATATTTTTACTTTTCTATGACTACAGTTGCTGTTTGTATGGAAGTTTTGTACATTTTTACAGCTGAAGTACTGTTCATTTATTACATTATTTTTATCCTTATTAAAATTGGGTTCTTTCTTTCTGATCATTGAGCTTTAGGCATTATTTGTAGTTTAAATCCTTTATCAGATTTGTGATTTGCAAATGTTTCCCCCCTACTCTGTGACCTGAACTCCTTTACTGATGGGAAAACAAACACTATTGCCCAGACAGGAGCATGGAGATATATATCTGACTGGGGTGTTGGGGGTGGAAGGGAATGATTTATGCGTATCCTTGAGTGTTATTTAAATGTCCTTGTATGAGCATGAAATATGCCTTGTAAAGTAAATTACACTTCATTCCTCAATTTGTAAAACTCTTCACACATCACGTCATAAGACCAGACTGGCACGTGGGCTACAGGTGAGGGACCCGCATGTCATAGTCGCACAGTCATGGCTTCTCTCAGGGGTCACTCTGGTACTGTCCACTCTGTGGGTGTTAGACAGATGTATAATGACCTGTGTCCATCATGAGAATATCATGCAGAGTATTTTCACTGCCCCTAATGTCTTCTGTGCTCCAAGGAAGCAAAAGCAAAAAGAAACCAATGGAATCACATCAGACTAAAAAGCTTCTACATAGTGAGGGAAGCTATCGTTAAAATGAAAAGACAGTATCAAATTGGACAATATCAAATTTGCACATCATCAATCCAACAAGGAGTTAATATCCAAAATCTACAAAGTACTCCAATACAAGAGAACAACTCAAAACAGGGGCAGAGGAGCTAAATAGGTACTTTTCTAAAGAAGACACACATGTGGCCAATAGGTACATGGATAAATGTTTGTCATGTGCTGTCAGGAAAATGCCAATTAAAACCACAGTAAGTTACCACCTTAGACCTGTGACAATGACCCGTTGAAGGGTATGAAGGAAAAGGAATTCTGGTACATGATGGGTGGGAATGGAGACTGGTCCTGTTAGCAGGCAGAAGAAGAGGTTCCCAGGACCCCAAACCTGCACACTCTACATGGGATCTGCCATCAGCTGCATAAAGACAAAACATACTCTAAAGCATAAGACCTTCAATAGAAAAGAACTTTAATACAATTACTATAAAATAGAGAATCAGTGTGCAATAGAGAAAGAGAAGAGAAAGAATATAGTTAGAATAGTTCCCAAGTGAAGCACCCAAAGTTACCCATCCCCTCATGGGTAAATGCCCAGCCAAACAGGCTTGGCCCAAAGTAGACCCACTGGGACCCGAAGGCCTGCCACAAGGCTAAGGCACCTACTGGTAGAGACCCATGGGAAAGGGGCAGGAGGGGCCAGGTGAGTCTGGAAGGAAAAGAACAAAATCAAAATCCACATCAAGATAACAGCTGCCATTGTCAGCCTCCCCATGAATCTCTCATCCATGTTTTTGTCTCTTTCACATGTTTCTTTCCATGTCCCCAATTCCCCGGCACAAGTCCAAGTGAGAAGCAAGTGTGGTTTCTTCACAAGTCTCTCTGCTACATGCACCTCCTCCAGTCTCCTCTCCCCATCTTGCTCCACGTCTTCCTCCTCTTCCTTAGCTTCTCATCCCTGCTCATCTCCACCTTTCCTTGGGTGGGCAAGTAACCTGGAACCTCTCTTTTCTATGGATAGCACATTGGTGCTGCCCCTATGGAAAAAAAAAGAAGGTTCCTCAAAATAGACCTGTCCCATGGTCAAGCATCCCATTCCTTGGTATTTATCCAAAGAAAGTAAAAACACTAATTGTGAGGAATATGCACCTCCTACAGTCACTGTAGCACTGTCACCATAACCAAGCAATGGAGACAACCTAAGTGCCCAATGGCAGATGAGGGGATAAAGAATACAAGCTATATACACAGTGGAATACTACTCAGCCATGAAAAAGAAAAATACTGACTTTGCAACAAGGATAGATATGGATGGGATTATTCTAAGTGAAATAAGTTTGAAGGAGAAAGTTAAATACTGGATGATTTGATCATATTTGGAATATAAAGAAACAAAGCAGGGACAGATGAAACTAAACCAAAACAGACTCTATATATATGACTGCAGAATTGAAGTTATGGGCTGGGAGTAAGAGTATGAACAAAGTAGGACGAGGGCTCAATGGACTGTGATGAAGACTGTGGTGCCCTTAGGGTGGGTGTGATGTGGTAAGAAACATTTGAAGAGGTGTGACCCTTGCCTCTGAACACATGCAGTGTGTAAACCAATGCTAGCCTTAATTGAATAATACAAAGAGGGGAAAAAGAAAAGAAAAAAGTAAATTATCTCCTCCATCAGTCACTGACCTCAGGACTTTGCCTTCACCTCCTCACTGTCATTTAGGCTGAGGAGCTGGTTTCCCACAAGGGCAGAGGCAGGAGGTGCAGGGACTCCTGGGGCTGCTCAGATACTGCTGAGTAGAGACACTGCAGAGAGGGTGGCTCTGAGGGGACCAGAGACAGAGGATCAGAGTAACCTCAGTGCTGAGTGAGGATCTGGTTCCCAAGGAGAGGAGAGTGTGTGTGTGTGTGTGTGTGTGTGTGTGTGTGTGTGTGTGTGACACAGGAATGACAGTATATACAACATAAGATGATGGAAAGTCAATTAACGTCAAGCCCCAGAATAATTCAAATCGCACACAGAGTAAAGAGTGTCAGAACAACACCTCAATAAATACAGTTCCATGGAGAAGCAGCTTCTGAGCAGGACTGAAAAAGCATTGGCCCTAAAGAAGAGGAGGAGGTTTAGAAACATCTCATGGTTGGCTTGAAGTGTAAGGAGCTGGGTAGTAACCCTTCCCCCACCCTCACCCCTGCTAGGATGTGGTGGCACATCCTGACAGCTGACAGCTTCACCCCTGACAGCTCCCTCCCCCAAAACCCAACGTTCATCTCCTTTGGCATCACCTGTATATGTACATATATGTATGCACGTAATCCCAGCTTCTTCTTAATTTCCCACCTCTTTGGAGGCATGTAGGAGGTTCCCATAGCTTGGCTACTGTAAAAAGTGCTGCAGTGGTGACGGGAGTGCAGGTCCCTTCACAGGAGAGTATTTATCCTCTGTGAGGAGATCCTCAGTGTAGAATTGCTGGGTCCAATGGCAGAACCACATTCACTCTTTTAAGAAACCTCCGTACTGTTTCCATAAGGGCTGGCTCAGTCTATATCCAAACACAATGCAGGACTGCCCCCTTTTTTCCACATCCTTGCCAGCACTTGAGTTTCTGGTCTTTTGGATATGGGCCATTCTCACAGGTGTGAAGGTTTAAACCAGGAGATCATAAAGCCAGAAAATGTGGGCAAAAAGAAATCCTGTAACACTCAGGCCAACACAAGGCTGTATCACACTGTGAAAAAAAATAATGATGAAGAAATTCAGGTGAACGACCTGAGTGTTAACATTATCAATGGTCCACTGCATTCTCAAGATGTCCTCCTGAAAGCATCCCCATCTCCTAGTCCCAGCCTCTCTGTCTCAACCCCCACCCCACTGCAGTCCTCCAGGGTCTCACCTTTAGGGACTGAGATACACTTCGGAGCACTGGGACTGTGGCTGCCTGGGGGAGAACACAACAAAACTTGGTCAGAGATGACACCGGGGGAGGAACTAATGAAAGTGACTCCCCCATGGGTTCCATCTACACTGTCCCCAGGGGCTCAGGGACCAAACCCATGTTCCACACCTACCTGCAGCCTGAGTGTAGCTTCCTCTTTGTCCTCCTGTGGGAAGAAACATCATGTGAGACCAGGGAGCAGTCAGGTGAGAAGCCTAAAGGAATCTTTTAGTCCTGCAGAACAGGGAAGTTTCCAGAACTGTGAGTAAAGACCCAGCTCAGGACTCAGAAAAATGAAGAAAGGAGGTGAGGGGGACTGTACCAAATGCCCTCTGGGCAACACACGTGTGTGTGGATGGTACTTCCCATTAACCAGGCAGGGCACGTTCTCCCTGGGACATGAAAGCTCCTAGTGGACAAGATCCCCCACTCCCTTCCCTACCCCCTCACACATGAAGCCACCTTTTGTCCAATGAGCACCTCCAAAGAAAGCCGAGATGGAAATGAGGACCACGGCAAGGATGGAGAACTGAGGAGGTGATACTGGAAGGTAAGGGAAGGTCAGACCCTGAACCTGAGGCCTCAGTCTGACCCTCTGAGGGTCTCCAGAAGGGCTTCTGATGGCCCTGAGTCAGCCATGTGCCCACATCCCCCTCCTTACACCATCTCAGTTCTCGGGGTGCTATCAGCCCCTCATGCTGCACATGGCACGTGTATCTCTGCTCCTCTCCACATGGCACCTCCACAGCCGCCCACTTCTGGAAGGTTCCATCTCCCCCAGGCCTGGTCTCCACCAGCTCCATGACCTGGGTCAGGTCCTCCCCATCTCGCCTAGGCCAGGGTTATGTCCACAGGGTAGAAGTCCAGAGCCCAGCACCTCAGGGTGACCTCATGCTCAGAAATGGGGTGATGGGTCACATGTGCCCTTTGGGGGCCTAGGTTGGAAGAATTGGAAATTTCATACCATGTGTTTCCTCCATGGACACTGAAGCAGCCTCGTGTGACCATCCTCCAGTGGACAGAACAGTATGCTTGGAGGGAGGAAGCACAAACCCCAGAAACCAGCCTGGTCTGGGAGTCCGGGATAGCAGGTGAGAGCCCAGGGTGGGATGCAGGTCTCTGAGCATTTTGCTGCTGACTTGGGTGGAGGGTGATGACACAGACAGGCAGGAGTGAGATCTCCAAAAATGCTCTCTGACCAAAAAACAACATCTTGAGAGAGAAACTCATTGTTCCTACGATGGCTGCTGGTCAAAAGGATCCCGTGAAGGGTGATTTCAGGGGTGGTCTCCCCTCTTTCTCAGGAGAAACTGGATTCCTTAACTGTCCTACAGAAAAATTAGGAGCCTCCTGGCCAGTCTCCATCCCAGAGCTGGAAAACGTGGCCGACAGCTCCCTCTCTGGCCAGAAGGGGGCGCTTCCTCACCATGATTCCATTTCCCTGCGGGGTGCGCGCCTCAGGGAGATCAAAGCCCCGCAGCCCCTTTTCAGCCCCGCCCTTCAGTCACCCCGTGGTCTCCCGCCCGCACCCGATCTCCCG